CGCGACTGACAAAGCCAACATGGACCACGGTAAATGCAGGTGTCAGTGCCCCTGGTAGGTATAAGAGAGCCTGGCTCCAGCACCGCAAGAGGACAAATGATCTGCTGCGCTCTGCCAGGGCATGTATCATTGTCTAATCAATGCCAAGTCAAACTCAATGGGGCATGAAGCATTATAAGGTCGTCACTACAGGAGACTGTCACTACAGGGGACTGTCACACAGTAGATTGGGTGACAGGCATCTCCATCAGATGACACATTTATTGGAGGTACCAATGTTGCACTTTTTGAACCTTAGTGGGCCTCACATATGTGCCAGGATTACAGTAAACACACAAGACAGTATCGAACTCTCAGCTGGTTAGGTCCGATCAGATCACCGACCTTTCATCTCAACTCAGAGAATTTACATATTCAATTGATTTTCAACAAAGAGCTGAATGGGACGCAGACTCAACCACAAATGTGGCTTCATTTTTTGATAGTTGCACGCATCATACCATGCTTGAGTTTCCCTGGCCAGCTTTAACTGTTTGACAAAGCAAAAATGTCATTATTTTAGATGCTTTAATTGTTCAGATACCCCATGTCACATTCTTCTTAGCAGTAATGCACACAGAGACTCACAGCTCGGGGGACTGATATCTCAACCTGTAGCTATGAGTGCAGGGAACGTGTTCATGTACCCATGCTAACATCTCTCAATCACAAACAAAAACAGAGATTGCTGAAAAAGCTCTGCAGGTCTGGCAGCATCTGCGGAGAGAAATCAGATTCAATGTTTTGGGTTTAGTGACCCTTCCTCAGAATTTCTGTTTTTCTTTCTGATTTCCAGCATTCGCAGTTCTTTCGGTTTTTATTCAACATCTCACAATGTTGTGTTGTATCTTCAAAGAAGAACATACTCCTTCCTCTTCATCAGTACATTTCATTATCCCATTCTGTTACCAACTCTAAATATAGGGTTCCATCTTCCCTTATCCTCTTCACCAACCGTCAACCCATGATTCCCAGATGCATGCTTCCATTCTCCAAGATTCTTCCTCCTCCACAAGTGACCACACCCTTCAACTTTCAATCCGTGTCCTAAATTTTCAATCTGCCACCATTATTCTTCTCTTTTGTGTTTAGCCTCTCTTTTAGCCTCTCATGCCTATCCTGGTCAGTTTCCTTACCATAAGCCAGCCTGGTTTAGGTAGGTCAGTTGACTCAGCATCCATTAACCCTTAGACGATAGCAAAAACCTTGTAAGAGCTGTTATGAATGAAGTTTTTAATGAGGTAGTTGCCTCAAGCAGGCTGCATTCCTTACCAGATAATACTATAAGCAAAGAAAGACCCTGCAAGACCCATGGTAAAGGGCCCAATTGAAGAAATGTGGACTCACCAGAGTTTTTCAGATGATGTCTACCCCACCAGGTACATGCCTCATTTATTGTAGAATCATCATAGAATCCCTACAGTGTGGAAACAGGCCCTTTGGCCCAACAAGTCCACACCAACCCTCAGGGCACCCACCCAGACCCATTCCCCTATAACCCACTTAATCTACACCTCCCTGAACACTACGGGCAATTTAGCATGGCCAATCCATCTAACCTGCACATCTTTGGACTGTGGGAGGAAGCCAGAGCACCCGGAGGAAACCCATGCAGACACAGGGAGAATGTGCCAATTCCACACAGACAGTCGCCCAAGGGTGGAATCGAACCCAGGTCCCGGGCACTGTGAGGCAGCAGTGCTAACCACTGTGCTGCCCAAATGGTCAAGTTTGTGAAGATTTATACCACTTTTGGCTAACAAGATTTTGACTATGAATGTAATTGCAGAAGGCTGGGGTGTTAATGAATATTCATGGTGTGTTAGTGGATGTGAAAGACCTTCTCTCCTATCACTTTCAGGAAGGCTGACTTGCTTGAAACTTTCTGTTCTCTTAACACCAAAACTTTAACCTGCTGTCAGCAATCTGAGTTTCCATCTGCTGCCCAATTACGCTCCCCTTCTCATCCTTCTACCTGCTCCAAGGAGGCTTCAAGGTGTCCACTCTCTGTGGCTAACTGGAGAAAGCAAAACAAAACACGAGAGGTGGAAATCTGAAATAAAAACAGTGAGGACTGTAAATACAGCGCAGGCCTATGAAGAGAAAAGATTTGTTATGACAAATCCATTGTGAATACCAAAAGACAAGCAAAAAACTTGGGGAGAAACAACTGAAGCAAAGACTTAAAAGTACTCCAATCGCATAGATGGACTACTTCCTTCTCTGAATCTATTGATTCTTCCTCTACTCTTTCTCTTTTTCTAAGCTCATTAAAATGACTTAATATCTTTCCATCTTCATTCAATTGAAGCCTCCATCCTTGAAACATTAATCAATCATTTCTCTTTGCAGATTCTGATTGGCTTTCTGTAAATTCATGGCAATCTATGTTTTCATTACTGATAGCTGACTGTTTTTCTGCCTGTGACTAGGATAGGCCAGAACTTAACTAAATGTCCAAGCTGCAGTTTTTTTTATTACTCCCTTCTGCCATCTCCTCAGTTACACGACCTCCTGGAGGGAGTTACGACTGGATATCAGTTTTATACCAGTGCAGAACTCTTGAAGCTATTAACAAGTATCTCAATAAATTGTGCTACTGAATGATAAAGTTATATGGTTCAGGTCGGTCCAGGTTCAATTTCCAGTTCATGCTGAGATGAACAATTGTAAAGGAACTCTCTAAGTGTGAGAGAAGAAATATGAACTCAGGTTCCCATTGTGGATCACAATAATTGATATCACAGTGCAAAAGGAACAGTAACTAATCTGTGTTGTTGCTGCTTTTGGAGTGTTGGGAGCGTGTAAAAGGAGCTTTACCTATCAGTAAGGGACAAGCAGTCAGAAAACTATGCCTGAGTGAAACATAGTTGTAGAGTGTGCAATTAGAAATGCATTGAATATGTTAAAGAATACATTGTGTCTGTTATCATAAAAAGTGGGTGGGAATGATGATGATATTGTAGTCAAGGAGAGTTATGTACTGGATTTGATAAATACAGAAAGAGAGGAAGTATTAATGGAATTAGCATCATTGAAATTAGATAAATCACTACGGCTGGATAAAATCCATCAGGGGCTGCTCATTGAAGCCAGTGAGGAAATAGCAGAAAGTCTAATCGTCATTTTCCAATTGTCTTTGGAGACAGTTGCTGGGCATTGAAGGACTGTCAATGTTGTAATATTTATTTGTTGATGTTTATTAATGTTGTATCTTTGTTTAAAAAGGGAGCAAGGGATAATCCAAATAATTACAAGCTAGTTAGCCTATCCTCAAATCAATTCTGAGAGACAGCATAAACGGTCACTTACAGTCTTGGATTAGTCAGCATGGATTTCTTAAACGATGTTGTGCCTGACTAATCTGTTTGCATTTCTGAGAAAGTAACAAGGAAGATTGTTGAGGGTGATGCAGTTAATGTGGTCTTCACAGATTTTAGCAAGATCCCACATGGCAAACTGGTTTGAAAAAATGTTTGTGAGATCCTGAGGAATATAACAAGCTAGATACAAAATTACTCAGCGACAGAAAATAAAAGATAATTGTTGACTGATACTGTTGCAACTGAAAAGCTGTTTGCAGTAGGGTTCTGCAACACCTTGGAGTCCTCATCTTTTTGTGGTGTATATTAATGAAATGGACATAAATGTAGGGGCCATGGTCAAGAGGTATGCAGACAACACAAAAAATGGTTGCAATGGTTTATAGTGAGGGGGATAGTTGTAGACTGCAGGAAGATATCAATGGACTGGTCAGATGGTCAGATAAGTGATAAATGCAATTCAACCAGGAGAAATGTGACAATGCATTTGAGGAAGTCAAACAATGCAAAGGAGTGCACAATAATTTAGAAGTGTAGAGAAAGTGAGGAACCTTGTTGTGAATACCCACAGATTCCTGAACTGTACAAATCATTAGTTGCCCCACAACTGAAATAATGTGTGTAGTTCTGGTCACCATGGATGAGGTCTATGTGCTTTCTCTGTGCAAAGTCAATATCAATCAATTTCAGAAAGGCTGTTATTACACTGGCGAGGACACAGGAGATTTAACACACGTTCGCTAAGGAGGGAAAGTTTGGATGTTCCTTAGAACAGAGGGGGCTGAGAGAAGATTTCATTGAAATGTACAAAGTTGTGAGAAATCTGAACATATAATGGGCCAGAAGGACCTATTTATCTTAACAGAGACATCAGTGATTAGCGGGCGTATATTTAATATGATTGGGAGAAACATTAGAAGAGAGATGCGGAAACACTTCTTCATGCAGTGAGAGTCTGGAACTCACTGTCTGAACGTGTGGTTGAAGCAGAAACCACACACCCCACCTCATTTAAAAGGTGTCTGGGTATGCACCTCAATGTCATGACCTGTGGGGATATAGACCACCTGCTGAAGAGTGGGATTTGGCTGTATAGCTCATTGTTCAGCTGAGGCAGACATTATAGGCTAAGTGGTCTTTTTTTCTATACTGCAAACTCTCAATAAATTTTCTCGCATTCTCTGTACCTGTCCTGTGCTGTATGTGCCTTGGGATCATACTGTTCAGTGGCTGGAATGGAAATTATATCCGCATTTACGTTCCTCACTCTAATGAACACAAAATACCGACATTCACTTCATACTCTCTGCTGATAACCTTTACCGTGAAAATGGCTTCTAGCATTGTAAAAGTAAATCAATTAAAGGTCCACTTCCTGAAGGAGACACAATAAAGACAGATTGGAGCTCTTCAGGTGATTTTATAGGGCAATCTGATATGGGTGAAAAGAACTTCAGAAAATCCCAGAAAACTCAAGCTTAACTCAACACAACTCATCTTCAAAATAATTACAATTCATAATCACAACACCTTTGGTAAGCTGTAATATAGCTTGAAAATTATTCTCCTTTTTTTATTAATTACAGTCTTAATAAAATTTTTGTTTTCATCAGACTAACAATATAGTCTTATTATTTTTATATCTTTTTCTCAGTAAGAAACCAGTTTCTATTATCTCTTCCTTTAAATTTCAGGCTGTTGATACCCTCAACTGATTTCTTGATTTTCATCCTTTTCCCAATCAAAGTCTTCTCCTGTGATCTGATGGAACATGACATTGAAAGGCCGGTAAAACTTCCGTAGTCTATGGATTACATCCGGATCTATTTTTGGATGAGTCCTTCCCTTAGATTTGCCGAGACACCTCGGCGTGCTACTGTCCTCTGGTTTCTTCAGGCAAGGAAACCCCTTGGTTTTGTTGAAGTAAAAGTGCTTGTCTGTAACGATCCTCTTGAGGCCCAGGAAGTCCTGCACTTTGCCCATTTCTCCGGCTGGGTCGATGATGAGCCTCTCCCCACTGACAAAATGGATCTGGGAGAGGGGAAAGAACTGGAGCCAGTTCTCCAGGTGCAAGGCGTAGATTCCAATGCGGATAGCACTCCAAGAGGCATCGATCAGGCCCAGGGTTCTGTTCTTGAAGGCTAGAACCTCAAAGGTTGGAATCTCAGGTTTCTTGGACAGTGTCTGGGTATAGTCTGAGATGGCTCTCGTCACTGGGTTCCTGACCACTACGATGAGTTTAGTGCCCTTTGCCATCGAGAAGATTCGCTTTGGTGCCTCCCTGGTAACAAAGTAGCTGGGTGTTTTCTCCATGGTGATCTGACCATCCAGCGTCTTGGGCATCAAGCTTCTAAAGATAAAACAAAAAACATAAAACAAAAACTGCATTTAGTTCATTTTATTGTTCATCTCCTCCCCACCTCCCCCTTCCCCTGCCAAACACAAACCCAACTCTCCAACAGTTATTTGTACTGGACTATGGTTCAAGAATGCCTGTACAGTGTTCTTATCCAATCAGAAACTTCAACCATAGGGACCAATTTTAACTCACTCAAAACTCATTCACTTCCACAGAGTTAAAACCAGTTCTAAAACTCTCCTACAACTCTCTGGACATTCAAATCAAAAAGCTGCTTGTCATCCAGAATGCATTACTGCATCCAAACTTCTGCTATATCTGAGGACAGGTAACTCAGACAGTTCCCTCTCATTTTTCCTGCTGCTGTGTGGACCTTCCAAGTCTGAGCATGGCGACAACTTGCAGAACCAGAAGTCAATGTGCCCAGATGCCCATTGGTGCGCATAGACCCTCTAAGCAGCTGGGCATCCCTTACAGGGAACACTGACCACTAGCTTTTCCACTAACCCAGTGGGAGATGTTTCGTTTGACCTACATAACGAGAATTATTGAACTTTAGCAAGAGAAGCAAGTTGTCGATATTTCATCCTAATCATCTGCTCTGTGATATTGTATAAATGACTTACTCAAGAGGAAGTAAAGCAAATAGAATGTAATACCTTGTACTTCGATTGTATATTTCACACATCAAGAGATCTTGAAGCACTTACAACCAGTGAAGTACTTCAATAATGTAATCACTGCTGTATCACGGGAAATACAGCAGCTCATTTGTACCACAGTCCCGTGAACCAATGAGAAGATTGGGCGTTTTAGTGACGTTGGTTGGTGGATAAATATTAGATAGGAAACCAGGAGACCTCCAGGTCCTTATATAGTGACCATGGGATTTTTTGCATTCCCTTAAGAAGCAGATCATCCTCAGTTTAATTTTTCTGTTAAAAAAGGTGTCTCCAGCAGTGCAGCACTGCACTGAGGTAGTGGCCTGGATTATCTGCTCAAATCTCGGAACTAAACATCTAAACCACACCTTTCTGACATAGAAACAAGATACACACTAATATACATCGGACTCCTCAAACAATACTGAGAATTCTGGCAAGATTACTGTCTCTGCTCCAAACATTATTTGGTGCCATTTCATAAGGACCAAATTACTCTCTGCATATAGATTCAACAGGGTTCCAATTCCCTCTGGAATAGAATTCCATGGGGACTTTATTAATAATCCATCAGCCATAATTCCTACTGAGGTATAGTTTCATAGAGCACTAATTCTTGTTACGGATTTACAAAGTATTGATTACGTCTGGGGCACAACATGATGGATGCTGACTTTTGCTGCGGCCCAGCTAATTAGAATATATACCGTATGCGTGACACATACTTATAGCGTTACTAGCAATTCATTTTTTGAAGGAAAATTATAAGTAAATTGGTTAGCACAAAAATTGCATGGCTAAGAGAGTGAAATGAGATTATCTTTGGATTACTCCAGCAAACAGCCAGCACAAACACAGCAATCTAAAGGACATACTGTGCTTTAAGCTTCTACTGTTCTATGGATGTAATATAAAAAGCAAAGGGTCAAAAAGCAGAGTCTGTGACTGAAGATAATACAGCATGACTGAGAATAAAATTTTGCAGTGACATTTCCAATGTAAGCAATAACATCACATGGTTTACAAAACCTAACATTGTTGAGTCCTATTTGCAAGTTGTCTGTATTGGTGGACTGTTTTAGTATCAGAGGAATTGTGAATGGTGCCGAACATTGTGTGATCATCAGCGAACATCCCCACTTCTGACCTTATAATGGATGGAAGGTCAGAGACAAAGCAGCTGAAGATGGTTCAGGCTAGGATACTACCCTGAGGGATTCCTGCACCTATATTCTGGGACTGCAATGATTGACCTCCAACAAACATTGTACTATATATGATTCCGTTTATATAGGCTTTCCCCCGATCCGCATTGACGTCAGTTTTACTAGGGCTCCTTGATGCCATGCTTAGTCAGATGCTCACTTGATGTTAAGGGCAGTCACTCTTACCCTGCATCTGAGTTCAGCTCTTTGGTCCATTGGTGAATTAAGGCTATAATGAAGCCAAGAACTGAGAGGCCATGGCAGAACCTAACATAAGCATCTCTGAGCAGGTTATTATTCAGTAGGTACAGTTTTTAATTGCTAGGTCTGTTTGAAATAAATTCCAATTAGCACAGTGGTAGGACTACACAACACAGTAGAGGCTATTCTCAGTGTGGAAGCAGAACCTTGTTTCTACAAGGATTGCATGGTCCACTGCCACTACTAATATGGTAAGATACATCTGTGACACATTTGTCAAATAGAATTTTCCTTTTTGTTGGCTCCTTCACTATGTACTGCAGGTTCAGTCCAGTGCTATGTCCTTCAAGACTCAGCCAGCTTTGTCAGTAATGGTATTACTAACCAACTGTTCATGATCAACATTGAAATCCCTGACCCAGAATACATCCTGCGCTCATGCCACCCTCAGTGCTTTTTCCAACTGGTGTTCAACATGGAGGAGTACACACACCAGGGAACTGAGGGTCCTCATGTTCAAATCACAAAAAAACAGCATACAGATCCAGAAGGTAATAGGGAAACTAAAAGGAATGTTGGCTTTTATTTCAAAGGAAATGGAAGATAAAAATTGAGATGTCTTGCTAAAACAATACAAAGCACAGCTGGAGTACTGTGAACAATTTTGGTCCCTGTATCTAAGGAAAGACATACTGGCATTGAAGGCAATCCAGAGAAGGTCCACTAGGCTGATACCAGGTATGGAGAATCTGTCTTTTGTAGAGAGGTTGAGTAGGTGGCCATATTGAAATGTACAAAATTCTTAATGGGATTTCACAAGGTAGATATGGAAAGGTTGTTTCTCCTGTGGAAGAGTCTAGGACTAGAGGGTATAAGGGGTTATCATTTAAGACAGGGTTGAGAAGGAGTTTCTTCACTCAGAGGGTAGTGAATTGTGGAATCTTTTATCATGAAGCATTGTACAGGTTGGGTCTTGAAGCATATTCAAGTACATGACAGACAGAGTTTTAATCAGAAAATCAACTCAGCATGAAGGGGGAAAGGCAGGAAATTGGAGTTGAAGATTATCAGATCAGCCATGGTTTCATTGAATGGTGGAGCAAACTCGATGGGCTGAATGACCTACTTCTGCTCCTACATTGTTGTGTGATCTTACAGATTCACCAAGAGGAGGTTTCCCTGCCTGTGTTTGACTGAATGTCGTGTGGTCCAGGGTCAACGTTGAGGACTCACTCGGCTGCTCCCGCCTAACTGCAGAACTCTAAACATACTCTAGTGGACCTGCCCTGCCAGTGGCATAGGACATACCTAATGATAGTGACGCCTTGGATATTGTCGAGTTGGTGCTTGACTAGTCCATAAGACAGCTCTCCCAGGTTTGGCAGAAAAATGTGTTTGATGGGACAGTGCAGAGGGACATTTATTCTGTCCCTAACTTGTGCAGTATCCTGGGAGTATTTGGTTGGATAATGTCATAGAGTTTTATTCTCTATCTAATCTAATACTAATCACAAATCCACGTGATATATTAAAACTTGAGTCTATGTGAAAATATCCACATCCCACACATTCACAGCCAATCTCCTGTCTCAGTCTTGGACTAATGGTTTGGGAATGCTGCTTGAGGAAAAAAAAAACTTTACAATATGAGGAATAGATATATCTCAAAGCAGGGACAACTTTCAACAGCCTATTAAAGCAGCTAAAAAGTGTAGCAAGCACAATCATGTATTCGGTGACAGCAGCATGTTAAAGTATACAATGAAGTCAACCATTGGAGAGGTGATTGAGAGATTCCTATACTACAGTGGGAATAAGGCTTGCCACTCTGGTTGGATGTATTCTTGGAGGTTTCATCACATGATCTACCTCTTTGGCCCAAAACTGCTCTGGAATTATGCTAAACTGGTTTCATTTGGGTCTGGTGCTTTCGGAGCTAACATATGAAAGTGTCCAAAGATGTTTAAAAAAGAACAATTTTTTCATGTTTCTATAATTTTTCTTCTGGGATGCTCACAGCAATCATATGGAGATTTTTAATTCTTGGATGACTGGCAATTCTAATTGACATTATTACAAGCTTAATTTCATCTTTTTTCTCTTACATATTCACTGGGCATCATCCAGGGAGCAGTGCAGGGCTTGGACATCATCAAGACAGATTCAGCATACTGATGAATATGTGTTTTAAAGGGATGAGGATCCTGCTAAAGGAAGTTTGATTGGCTGCAGCTCCTTTAAGGTCACATCTCCATTAGAAATATAATTTCTACACACCAAATTGCGACATCAATTTCCGTAATATATGAACCAGAACATGCCCAATAACCTTGAGATCAGGAAGAAGCCCAGGAATTGGTAAATCAGGAACATGCCCGATAAAATCTTGTCCAAAAAGTGGGTTTTAAGGTGCATCTTAAAAGAAGAAGGAGAGGTAAAGAGGTACAAAGCTTTAAAGAGGGTATTCCAGAGCTTGAGGCCTGGGCAACTGAGATACCATCAGCCAGGGTGGAATGATAAAAACTAGGGATACTGAAGAGACCAGAATTATATGAGTAGATATCTCAGAATTGTGTATCTGGAGAAGATAACAGAGATAGGAATGGGTTTGAGGACGGGAGTTCTACAGTTGAGGCATTACCTAACCAAGAACTAATGTTTGTCAGGGAGCATGGGCGTGAGGGGTGAATGGAACTTTGTAATAGCTGAGACATGGGCAGTAGGGTTTGGGATTACCTTAAATTTATGGAGGGTAGACTGCAGGAGATCAGTCAGGTCTCCTAAATCCATTAGAATAATCAAGTCTACAGATAACAACAGCATAAATGTGACAATCATCAATAGATGAGTTCAAACAAGGACAGAATTGGGCTACTTAACAGAAGTAGAAATAAGCAGCCTGAGTGATGACACACATATGCAA